ACGTACACTTCTATCTCCTTGTGCATCATATCGTGGAACAACGTAACCATTGCTCTTTGATATGTTGCCCCGGCGTTCTTAAGTCCGAAGGGCATCACCTTGTAACAAAATGTACCCCACATTGTCACAAAAGTTGTCTTTTCCATGTCTTCTGGGTCCATCTTAATTTGATTGTAACCTGAGAAACCATCCATGAAAGAGAAAAGAGCATGACCAGCCGTATTGTCCACCAAAGTATCGATGTGTGGGAGTGGAAAATTATCTTTGGGGCTTGCTCGATTGAGATCCCGATAGTCAACACACATCCAAACTTTGCCATCTTTCTTTGGAACCGGCACTATGTTTGCTACCCATTCAGGGTATTTGACCACTTGTAAAAATCCAGCATCGAATTGTTTCTTCACTTATTCCTTGATTTTTAATAACATATTCGGTCTCATCCTTCGAAGTTTTTGCTGAACAGGCTTGCATTCTGGCTTTATTGGTAGCTTGTGCATCACAATGTCAGTCTCCAACCCCGGCATATCTTGATAAGACCAAGCAAACACATCTCTATATTCCCGAAGAAGGCTTATAAGACCATCTCTTATTTTTGGTGAGAGTGAAGTGCCAATTTTAACCTCCTTTATATCCTCTTCTGTTCCCAAATTTATTGTTTCAGTTGTCTCTTTATGGGGCAATATTTGTCTATCTTCTTGCTCCATCATTCTAACAAGCTCAGAGTTTAACTCACATTCCTCTTCATCTTTATAACCCTCAGATTCTTCGAGACACATGTCATTTTCAAAATCAATTTGTGGTTCAAAAGTATCATTACTCGAACAGTTGATATCTGAAGACCTGCGAATCAAAAAGGAGTATATTTGGCTGTGGGCAAAAATTTTATCTAATATTTATCAAGAGAATAATTATCAATAAAGAATAAAGAATATTCAAGAAATGAATAAAATACTTGCTAAGATTAGAATGAAAAGAGAACACCGTTTCATTAAAGCAATGACAAATAACAATTTGTCTTTTACAAAAGCCCTATTATATTTGGGTCAAAAGGAGACAGATTTGTTATTATGCATTACTTTGAAGAGTGCTTATAGAACACAGGGAGTTCTTCAATAGTGTAATTGTTCAAAACATAGCCAGGAGGACATGGACGGATTGATGCCAATGAGCATTCTCCAGTAGAATCATCTGTGATAGCGTTGATGCTCAGGCTTCCCAATAAATCTTCAACAAATTTTATATCTTCACTATCCCATGACTGTTTCAGCGTGTCAATCACAAATCCTCCAGACACAAAAGATTTGGAGAGAGGCGGAATGACCATGGGTCCCCAAACAAGGTCTTCTCCCTTTACTCTTGCCTTCCTCCTTTCCTTAAGCTTTTGTGCATCTTTGACTTTATCATGGTACGTTGGTTTGTATCCTAGACCAAAATAATTTCTTTTAGGAACTGGAGCCGGCCCTTCAGTGATGCCTTGCAGTTTCTTTCCCAAGCCTTTCCCTACCTTTGCTCCTCTAGCTAATGTCTCCTTTAATTGCATCTTTGTATTTTTTGAAAGATGAGGAATAGGAATTCTTTTGCCTTCAGAGATAAAAGTAGCATTAACAAATTCCAAGGACTGGAAAGAGGACTCTAGTGCATTTTCATCTACCCCTACATATGGTGCATCTGTAGTGATAGAGGCAATGATGTCTTCTTCCGCTTTGATGGTCACCAGAGTCCCATCAACAATAATCGGAGCTTTGGTGAAGGGAGGAAGGAACTGCCCCAGCCATGTGAATCCAGGGTCTCCCTAGCAAGCAACTATAACTCGGATGAATATCCATGACAACAAAATCTACTTCAAATGTTGTAGGGCCAATTCTGAGAGGGATAATCATCTTCCCCATTATCTTGCGTTCTGTCCCATCAAATGCCCTTACAGTATTGCCACAAACCCTTATTTGTGATACATCCACAGGAAGTCTATTTAGAGTGGCGAATGGCATAACATTCAAGGCCGATCCGTTGTCAATTAACACCCCTGAGACAATGACTCCTTTGCAATGAGCCGTAATGTGTAAAGCCTTGCCCCTGCCTTTTCCTTCTTCAGGTATTTCATCATCATAAAAATAAATGAAATTATCTGCATTAATATGGTTTACCATCCTGTCCACACGTTCCAGTGGTATATCCTTCCCTACAAAAGTTTCATTCAGCACTTTGATCAGAGTATTTCGATGTACTTCCGAATGCAACAGTAGAGATAACATTGAAATCCGTGCTGGGGTCTTATGAAGTTGTCCCTCAATGTTATACTCGCTGTGTTTCAGAAACTTTAAAAATTCATGAGCCTCCTCAATCTTAACAGGCTCATTCAATTTATCATCAGGATCTTTAATAACCACATCTCTTGCTTTATCAGCCTTTCCAGGAGCATAGCATCTTCCACTCCTGGTGAAAAATCCAACTTCAGCAACCTCTTCCTCCTTACTCTCAGGAGTATTAATTTGGCATGTATAGTCCCAGGGAACACTCTTGTTACTCTTGTAGGCAAAAGGCGCAGGGGTTTTGATCACCACCCTAGATGTTATACTTCCACTGCTAGCCTCGTAATTTGGTTTCGATATGACCAGGACAGGCTTTTTTAAATTATTTTCAGCTTCCCTTGAATTTTCTTCAGAAGCACAGATATATCTTTCATTCTCACTCATTCTTTCTTCATAGAACTGCAACTCCTGCTTGTTCATTAATTCTTGGACTATTTGCCTGAATTCTTGACAGTCCTGAATTTGATGACCATTTTCACCATGGTATTCACAAAAGTTATTTGTCTTTTCCGTTGAGCATTCATTTCTAGGGCTCAACAACCCTCTCTCCTTTATTTGAGCATATACCCACTTCAGTGGTGTTCTTACTTCTTCAATTCTCCTTTTAATTCTCTGATTTTTCTCAATAGCGTTCACTCCCTGATTCTGATGATTTGGAAGCGGGTTTGCAGCAACACAGGGTGCTTCAGAATCATTAAAGGACACCACTTTTCTCTTGATCAGATCTTCAACCACTCTTTTGAAAGCGAGACACTTTTCAATGTTATGTCCTCTGAGATTTGCATGATATTCGCATACCTCATTTTCGTTGAACCATTTTGGATAAGGTGGTTTAATTGGATCAATGAATTTTGGTGACACTACGTGAGCTTGGACTAATCCATGGAAGAGCTCACTGTAAGTCATTGGTATGGGAGTGAATATCATTCTTTCATTGTTATGCTCGCGCTTAGTCTCTCCTTGGGATGAAGAATTTCCCATCTTCGGCTTAGTCACAGAGAAATTTACATTATTAACCTCTCCTTCTTTTTTCTTCACATAGGGTTTCTTTGCAGGAGTTTGGTTACCGACAATCTGCCCCTTCTTTAATGCTCTCTCGATCATCTCTCCGCACATCACGATATCAGAGAAGCTCTTAGTTGCCAATCCTAACATATGATCAATATAAGGAGATTTTAACGTATCTATAAACATGGTTATAAACTCCCTCTCAATAAGTGGTGGGTGCACTTGAGCAGCAATATCCCTCCAGCGCTGAGCGTATTGTCGAAAGGTCTCATTATGCTTCATCTCCATATTTTGGAGAGTAACACGATCAGGCATCATGTCGGTAACGTGTTGATATTGTTCTTTAAAAGCATTGGCCAAATCCTTCCAAGACCCTATTTTAGCTCGGTTTAATTGGTTATACTATCTGACAGCTGACCCCGTCAAGCTGGCCTGGAAACAGTGAATTAATAGCCTATCATCCTTCACAAATCCTGTCATTCTTTGACAAAACATTGTCAAGTGAGCAACATGACAAGTTTTTCCATCATACTTTTCAAATTCCGGCATTTTGAACTTTGTTGGTAATACTAGGTCTGGCACGAGACTCAATTCCTCTGCATTCATTCCGTCTTGAGAAACCTGCTTTCCCATCTCTTTAAAAAAACCCTTTGCACCAGTCCTTTAAATGCTCTGGTACTTCCGTTTTACGTTTCTCCATTTCCTCAGGGTCTATATCAATATACTCATAAGGATTGTTTTGAGGGTTAGTCATGGCTATTTGAACCTTTACTGCTGAAGACCCTGCAGGATGCTCAACTAGCTTTTCAGGTGAGATAACTAGTTTCGGGGTAGACTCCTGCCTAGAAACTTCAACAGGGGCAGTGCTTGGTTCTTTAACTGTTTCAGTACGTAACCCAGACATCTTGGTCATCATCTCCTTCATCATATTAGCCTGGCTTTGCAGGATTTGATCTATAATTGACTTTTGTGACTGCTCCATCTTCGCCTGCCATTCTTGTTGTATTCTTAGTAAATCTTCTTGCATTTCTTTCTTTAATTGATCAAGCTTGGCATCCATGGCTCTACTTCGCGTGTGATAAGGATTGGAGTTTTTACTTGCCAGAATCGTCTGTCACATAACCCTTCGGAAATTAATTTTATTGTTCTTTTTAAATTCGAATGCATATTATTGGTAATGTGCTATAAATGATGCATTTTATTGGTGATGCATTATAAATGATGAATTTACTTATGCATAATGAATGATGCAAGTGTGAAATGCAAATAAAAGGCGTTGACCCAAGCAGTAACCATTCGTAAATACTTTCATTGGATAAAAAGTTTCACTCATTACAAAGGAGTTCTATTACATATAAGGCCTAGCCCTCAGACTCAGCTCTACAATTTCATTCATAATGGCGATGATCTCCCTTGTATATTCAGAAACCGGATTTGTGCGCAGTTGGATGATCTCCGCTCTATTAGCTAATTCGTTCATGTACCGAGCCACTTCACCCATTTGAGCAATAGCTTCCCCCATCATGCGCTCGCGTTCTTCTACCAAGGATCGATAATGCTCATATGTATTTTTCCATCCCTTATTGATGCGTTTGATTTCTTTTTCTAGATTGGTAATATGAATTCGACATTTCTGGAGTTCACCTTTCAATTCTCTGATTTCCTTCTGGAAAGATTTGTTTTCTTCGAGAGCAACTCTTAGGTCCATTGAAGTGGAAGGAACTTGCACTTGCAGAAGGGATTGCTCAAGGTTCGATACATGACTTTTGAGCTCATCATTCATAGCTCGAGATTGGTTCATCTCTTGTTCGAATCTCATCTGTAATTCTCCCATTTCTCCCGTGAGCTCATCTACTTGCTGACTTTTTGTAGAGAATCTCTGCATCCACGATCCAATCTCTGCCTGCTTTCTATCGAGGATTCGATTCCATCCCTGTCTCTCAGACCACATCTCTTCTTTCTTTCGCTTTCTTTCTTCTTCGAGCTTTAAAATTTTTTGATCTTTGTCCTCAAAGTCCTCAATTATACTGTTCATCTCAGTTTTTAACCCCTGGACTTGATTTTTTTCTTCTTCTAATTCCTTCAGGCTGACTTCTTTTTCTTCATGGAGTTTTTGAGCTCTACGAGCCTCAGCTTTATACTGCTTGATCAATTCCTTTTTATCGGCCTCTAGCTCGCATACTTTTGCTTTTCCAGCTTCTATCTTCTTGATCTGACACTTGTTCTCAATTTCCAGACTTTTGATTCGCCGTCTTGCAGCCGCTAATTCTCTGGATCCAAGTCTCTTTCTCATTTGCTGTACCCTTTGATAATCCTTTTTTAAGTCTTCTAAATCGGATTCCACCTCCTCTTTCCGTTCTCTCATCATTATAAACTGTCTGGCCTGAAAATCAGCCTCGATAGCCAACATGAAGTTTTCTCTCTCCATCTCTTCTATTTTCTTGGAATCTTTAGCCTTTTCCATTTCAAACTCAATTCTTTGGATTTCCAAATTCGAATGGATATTTCTGATTTGTTCTTCTATCGACCTTGATCCCTCTCCAGATGTTAAAGGTATTTTATCATTTACCCTCATGATTCTCCAGGCTTCATAATCAGGCGTCAAGATAACATTCGCTCCAATTACTTTAGTCCTAAAAGTCATCCTCCAAGAATCAGCCACATCTTTGATTTTCTTTCTATAATTGCCTTCTTTATAATCAAATTCAGCACCAGTCAACCCATGAGTCACGGGAACAAACTGTCGGGCACCGTACTGTCTCAATATCAACAAAGGAGCGTATCCCACTCCTCCCCACAGTCCCAGTAATATAATCCACTCCAAATCTCCACACTTGAACAAGATTTGTGTATGCATCAGCCACGGTGTTCGCCATGCTATGTTTTGACTTTGTAGATTCCGGAAGAAATCAATCCATTGATCTTTCTAAGATACTTCAGGCCACTCCTTCGTAAGGTACTCAGCAACAGGAGAATAATCTTTCAAAAAACGATTATAGTTGACTTTTTCTTCCTTCCAGAAATGGCTTCTGATCCACACAGTAAGCAATTGAGCACAACCCATAAAACGACCTCCCCCCAACCTTCTACATATATTCAAAGATCGGAAAGTTTCAGCAAGAATTGCATGGACTGGATTCACCTCTCTTCCTAACTTCTCAACCAAATCGACTACTGCTAGCTCGATCAGCCCCAAACATTTTGGAAAGATTACCAAACCATATATACCCAAAGCAAATACATATCTACGCACGTTTTCATCTACGTGTGCTTCAGCTATCTTTTGTAAGTGAGACCACGACACTCCCTCACTTTCTCCCTTTCGTTGCAAGCGATCATTTACCCATTTGTCGCTCGTGCCCGAGATCTTTGCAATCTTTGACTTAAGAGAAGGCCCTTTTATCGATCGGGAGTAAACTTTGTCTATTTTAACGCTTGACAAATTCAACAGAAAGTGGTATTCCTCGAGGGTTGGAGTCATGTCCTCTCGGTTAAATGTGAAACAACTATAGGCCGGATTCCAAAACTGTATTATGCTTCGTATGAGAACCGGGTCTACCTTCACGTATATCAGATGAAATATATCCCCATAAGTCTGCTGAAAAGCTTGCCTCTCAGTAAGATTCCAACTTTCCCAAATTGTTTTCAATCCCTGAAGCTCATTCTGTTTTAAAGAAGCTGGTGTATAATCAGACAGATCCGACACGTAGTCCCCTGATAGACTATCTCCCTACTCTTTCTGCTTGGCTTCGGACCAATTCCTTACATCTGCTGGATTCACCTCTTTGTTTAGGAAACTCCTTTCCATCGTGAAAGGCTTTCCACTTTATCGATACTCACAGATCAATCGCCTTTTCTAATGATATGTCTATGCAGTATGAATAAAAAAACAACCAAAACAAACAAAACAGTTAGTCAAAATAATTGTATAAATTTAGCATAAAAAGATATGTAAAACGGGAAATAAATCTCCTCCATTTATGTATTATCTACCCAAATAATATTCCTCAAAAAGGGTCCTACCCAAACATGCTCTCTACCCTCCTAAATTTATTTAATTAAATTCTAACTGCACATAAATTCTACCAAAAATAAATAAATAAATAAATAAAATGTTAGAGTAGGTTTCTCCATTGTGTACGCCTATTTTGGGTACCTATTGACGGATAGAGGTTCGGCATGACTCTACCTAGTGTGACCGTTCTATGGTTCATTATGTGCATGGTTTCGGCTCTTATCAGGAAAAAGGAACTCGAATTGTCCTTGATGTCGGTGCCCCTTGGGTTACCAAACCCTCAATCCTCACCCATTACAGGTTTCAAAAGGAACGAGTTCAATTCGAGGGGATTCACTGCCTTATACCCATACGAGGAATAAATTCCTACGAAGGTATAAGGTATGTATCCCATGGGTTATTTGCTAAAACTCATACGAAGAATAAATTCTTACGAGAGTAAAGCAATCACCCTAACTAATTTGGATCGAAGCTCATGTCTAGAGCTCATGTTATGCCAATGAAAGTGATGTGTGTGAGGAGAAACAAACAAACCTTTGACTCAAAAACAGGGAAAAAATATAATAAAAAAATAACACTCAACGAGAACTAAGAAATATCTGAAAAAATGAAAACAATTAAAATGTTAGTATATAAAAATAAAGAGATAAAATAATAAATAAAAATTCAATACATAGATCATAGTTTTACTAAAGATTCGAACTTATAATTTCCACCATAACGACCATATATAAGCGACCGACAGCCTGACTCTCTAGCCGTCCCCAGCGGAGTCGCCAAGCTGTCATAACCATTTTTTTAGGTAAAACAATTAAATATTATTTTTTTTAAAACGATTATGACTTTTATTTTGGAAAATGGGTGATTTTGGATTCATTTAGATTTAATTGAAAAGGGAGTCGCCATCGACCTTTGAGTTAGGTAAGTCGAATACCTAAGAACATGTTTTTAATTTAAAAAACAATTTTAAGGAAAATTATTTTTTTATAAGAATACAAGTCTGCGTTATCAGAAGAAAATTTAGGGGTTCAGAAGTCGGTTACGTCTGTGGAAAAGATAAACATCCACAACGCCCAAAATCGGTACTTAGTCGCTTATATATCGTCATAAATGATAGAACTTAAAGTTTGAATCAGAAGTAAAAATATGATCTATTTATTGAATATTTGTTAAAATAATAGAAATACTTCACTTGGTAAGAAATCTCAAGATTTGCAATCCTCCAACGGGAAAGCTATCTCATCTATTTCTCATCTATAAAGTATATTCTATCTTTGAATTATCACCAAATAATATCGACATGAGTAGAAAATAAAATATGCTTAATTTATCTAAAACATGTATCGTTAATATTAACATAAAAACCATTAATACAATAAAAATTATAAACATAGAATAATAAATAAATTATGATATATTTATTGAATATTAGTTAAAATAAAAAAACCCTTTTCTCGACAAGAAATCCCGAGATTTGCAATCCTCCGTCGGGAAAGCTACCTCGTCTATTTCTTACTTGTAAAGAATATTTTATCTTTAAATTAAAAATAATAATAATAATAATAATATCAAAAATTGACATAAAATGCATCATATTTTATTTTTCCAAAACATACATCACTCATATTAAGATTCAATGAAGAAATAATAATAAAGATTAAAATTTAAATATTAAACAATATGAACATCAAATAAAATAACAAAAAAAAGAATAACAATAAAAATAATTTCTATAAGCTCGTAAAAGGAAGAATTTGCGTTTTTTTTTTATCATATTCTGTTTGAACGTCGTATAGGATTGCATCACTTCGACCAAGCGATGCTTTCCACACCCATTCTACAAATCGTTGTTCTTGAAAATATTCGAGTGAAATTAAGTAGTGAATAAATTTGAAATAACCAATCAATAAATAAATAGGCTAAGATTAGAAACGATGACATACATGTGTGCACAAGCATTAAAAGTACTTAGTAAATAAATTTATTTTTGATACAATATGTAATTTACATACAAATAATACTAGACAAATACAAAAATAAATATGGCAAAGTGAAATAAATCATAACATGAAAATAATAAGCAAAACTAATAAAGAGGTGACCAGAATAAAAATAATAACAACAGTCGGAACAAATCAAAACAAGTAAATAATATATATAGCGAGTGACCAAATTAAAGATAATAAAACTAAAGTGCCAAAAATGAAATAAACAGAACAAAGGAATTCGGGGAACTAAAATGTGAGACACGATAATGTATTAGGGGTTTAACGTAATTTTGCACAAACAAATCAATGACCAGTTTATAGAAACGCTCAAATGTACAGGGGCCTAAGCGTGATTAACTGCACAAATTTGGTGACTTATCTAAAAAATGAGATAATGAAGTGGCTTAAACATAAATAAACCAAAACTTTTATAGACCAATATAAAGAATGGCAAGAAGATAAGTGACGCTATGTGTGATTAAACCAAAATTAACACAAAAACAATTCCTTTTCCCCTGATTTTCAATTTGTGCGAGACTTTAACATTTCCTGCTTATCTTCTTCCTCTCACAACACACATTTCCTTGGCTTCTCTTCCGCTCACGGTGGAGGACCTTGAAGTCCCAAAACCCGCGCCACCTCGGCCACCCTAATGGGTGGCCACTCTACTTCAACCGAGACCTACAAGGTATGGGAACACCACTAAGACAGCCCCTAATCTCAACTCACTCCACCCCCCTCGATCGAGAACTAAACAACGAACCAACACCTTACGCGGTGGCTCCGACCAACAAACTATGCCACCCTCTCTCCGATGACACCATTTTCCCGACGAACACCAAAGCAAGGTAACCTAACTCTCTATCTATCTTAATTAATTTTTTTAAACGTATAAATACATGAAAATAAAGAACAAAATTACAATCTAAACTATATTTGGTTACATTGCATGAAATTAACAGATAAACAAGCATGTAAAGAAAAGGGCTAGAATACCTTTGCTTGCTTGAAGATTTCGATCTGTTTTTTTGATTTTCTGTTCTGCTTTCGATTACTAAAAAAAGGGTTCTTGTTACAGCTTTTTTTAATCGGTTTCCCCCCCCCCTTTACATAGTTTGGTTGGGTTTTCTTATATACCCATTACAAATACTAATATAAATTTGATGTTGCTTCTTGTTGATGTGTTTGGTGCCATGATTTAAGGGAGCTGACATGTTGCAGTAAATGTAGCAGGGCATGGGTGAGGTGTGGTGTTGGCGTGGGGTGCTGTGGAGCAGGGCATGAGCATCAGCTGGGTTGGTGGTTTGTCCAGGACGGGTCAGGTTGAGTGCTAGGTCACTTGCAATGGCTTCAAATTGAGCCTACAAAATATGTCCATTTGTATTAATAATAATAATAATAATAATAATAATAAATAATAATAATTAAAAATAATAATAGTAATAAATTAAAATAGAAAAGACCCGGATAAAAACGGGTGTCTACAATATGTAAATCATCATAAGAAAATGAGTCACATGAACCACAACAATATATTGAAATACAATAGAAAGAAATGCATAGTTAACCCATATGCTAAAACGTCTATTTAGAGGAGATATTGCTCGAGAAAACATCATCATTACGAATATACAGTCATATTACTGAGTATCAGTCATTAAAAAAGAATATAAATCAGTGTGTTAGATCCAATGTTAATAATAATATTCTTTTTCTAAAAACACATAACATCTTTTAAAGATTATATTCTCTGAATTAAATTCAAATAAAATCTAATCAATTTAAACTTGAGAATCGAGTGATCACCTACTCTCGAAAACTAAATCCCATATATTCGAACCTGCCATGATCAGTTCCTAGACAAAAATTACTAAACCAAAACAACGGAAATCAGTCAAAAGTGTCATTGACATTAACCACGAAAGGAGGGTGGGGGGAGGGGCAAGACACGATGGATTGATAATAGTGACAAGGTATAGTGGGAAATGGAACATCAATTTTAATTATTTAATTGATATTTAAATTTTAAAATATCTAATACTATATCATTATGTTAAAATGAGAGATCTCGGTCAAGAGAGAGAAATCTCGATCAATGGGGGAGAGAATGAGGCGGAACTCTAGTGAGAATAGGGTTTGATTAATTTAATAATTAATAGAGATATTCTTTTTTTTTCATTTGGATTAAAATTTGATTGAGTCTTGAAAATTTAATGGACCTAATCGCTTCTGGGTAGAAACTTAATATGAAGAAGACAAAGTTGATCGGAATTAATGTGGAAGAGAGTGCATTAGAATCTTGGGCGGGTTCGATTAAGTGTGGCATTGAGTTATTCCCGACTAGGTACCTCGGACTCCCGTTGGGTCAGCGAAGTAATTCCAAGCTGATGTGGCAGCCCATTCCCGCTAGACTAGAGGGATGGCAAGGGAAGTTGCTCTCGTTTGGAGGGCGTTTGACATTAGTTCGATCCGTCCTCTCGAACCTACCAGTATATTACATCTCTTTTCAAAGTCCCCGCAAGTATTGCTTCAAAGCTTAATAAATTGGTAGTTAATTTCATTGGGTTCGATGGGAAAACGTTGTTAAGCCAAAAGAATATGGTGGCCTTGGTTTCTTCGATATCAATCTTCGAAATAGATCTCTTCTCAACAAATGGTCGTGGAGGTATGGTCAAGAACCGAACAGCTTGTGGAGGAAGGTGGTAGACGCGAAAACGAACAGTGCTTCGAAGGGTCTTCTTCCAAGCCCTTTAAAGTGTAGGAAAGCTTCTTGGGTTTGGAGGAATATTGCCAAGCCTCTATCCTATCCAAACGACGTCTTTACCGGAAATTTAAGGTACATACGAGGGATGGTTCAAAAATTGAATTTTGGGAGGAGCCGTGGGTAGGGGATGCTCCACTAAAAGTACTGTTTCCTAGAATTTTTGCGCTTGCAATCAAAAAAGAGGGAAAGGTGAGTGATTTTGGTCGGAAAGTTAATGGCAATTGGGAGTGGTCAGTTGTTCTTCGAAGACAATTGTTTGATTGGGAGGTTGATCAATGGCAAAACTTCCAGAATAGTGTGACATGTGCTGCTAAAAACTCTGAGGCGGGACTGCTTGAAATGGTCAGGAAATCCCTCGGATTCTTATGAGCCTAAAGCTTTTTGTGAGCAAGTATCTTCTGTTGGAACGTCTGCGGATCGATTCTGGAAGCTTGTTTGGGCTGGTTTGGCTCCTCCAAAAGTGGAAGCATTTGTGTGGAAAGCCTCCCAAAATCGTATTCCAGTCCGATTTGAATTACAAAAGCGGGGTATCACTGTCCAAGATTCGGGGCGATGCGCTTTGTGTAGGAAAGGCGAAGAAACAGTGGACCATTTGCTTTGGCATTGTGAAGTATCTTGGAGAATATGGCAGAAGTGGTGTTTCCTTTGGAATGTCAATGTTTTCTTCCGGGAAACTTGAGGATCTGTTAATATTGTGGGTTCATGTGCCGGTAAAATCATCGCTAAAACCGCTATGGCAGCTCGCTTTCTTTGGGATTGTTTGGACATTGTGGCTGGTGCGTAATGAAGTGATCTTCAACAATAAAAAGTGTGAAACAATGAACATTTCAGACTTAGTGTTAATGAGAATTGGTCTATGGGCAAAATCGAAGTGGCCAAATGCGATCTTATCCATCAATGATTTCATTAGTTACCCATTGGCATCCTCTATAAAATTGAAGATTTCGAATAGGCCTGCTGCAGGTTCTTGGGTTGCTCCTCCTCAAGGCAAACTTAAATTTAATGTGGATGCGGCAGTGCAGAGTTATGTAGGACTGACTGGAATCGGGGGATTATTCCGTGATCATAATGGAATGACCTTAATTCGCTTCTCGAGAGTCGTTGATCAGGTTGATTCATTCGGCGCGGAGTTGGCTGCTATTTTAGAAGCGTGCCAGATTTTCTCTTCCTCCAGGTGGGCGAAAAATTCCGTTTTAATAGTTGATTCAGACTGCCTTCGAATGGTGAGCTGGATCGAGAACCCCAGCACTGCTCCTCCTCCTTTTGTAGAGATGGTTGCTAACTGTAACGAGTTTTGTGTTATGCGTTCATGGAGGGTGAGTTTTGCGCACAGAGAGAGGAATCTTGAAGCACACGAGCTAGCACAAGAAGGGATCCGGAGATCCCAACCCTTCTTATGGGTGAAGGCAAACGAGTAAGAGTGGAGGCGCTGCTGCTTT